AGAATCAGCCATATTGATGATGACGAAACCATTAGGAAAAAGATCTGCAATATTGTGGCAGAATTAGCAAAGAATTTAATGGGTAAGAATATGATAAATCCTATCCTCATGAAATGATGGTGCGAGTGGGAGCTTACAGGCTCAGTGCTCGACTCAAGAGGAAGTGAAAAGCCTTTACTTAACCATTTGCAGCAGAGATCGTCTCGGCCACGTTTTTGCGGACCGGTCCGTGTCCAGGCTCAAGAATTTTGGCTCAGTTCGGTCCGGAGTGAATGCATATATTTTTCGGAGCGACCCGTACGGGTCTGGCCAAATGCATTCTACATTCTGCGGACCGGCCCGCGAGATACCCCGTAGAATCTAGATTAGTATAGAAACATAGGAGATATTAAAAGCGCTAGATTTCAGTAATATATCAGTAGATATAAGCTTATAGAACAGATACTCAAAGGACCGTCAACTTGGTCTGCGACATTTTCAAGAGAAAATAGTGTCTTTTTCTCACATTTAATATGAGTGTTGTCTTTCGGTGTTGTCTTGTAATTTTATCGATTTTTGGGGAAAAGGCTGGACTGGCATGCGGGCTATCAAATTGCAGCCCGGTCCGGTCCGTAAACAAGATTCAAAAACGTAGGCCCGACCCGATCCGTGGGCTTCCATAGGTTTTCTTGGCCCGTGACGATCTCTGATCTGCACCATAAATCTATGTCAGTGGAAACTTCAACTGGACTAAATTTTCCAGAGAACTAAGATAGTTCTAGTTCCTAATGTAAAAAATGGTCTTGTAGAGAATGCGTTACTGAGAAATCATGAAATCCATCGAAAAGAGCATGTCTTTATGTTTGATTTTTGTATGAGACTGATTTTTGTAATATAGATGATAACGACACAAATCAATGGCCAGAAGTTTTAAAATTTTTGTTTGAAAGCGCTAATTCCAACCATAATTCATTAAAAGAATCAGGATTGGTTATATTCGAGTAAGTTGTCAGTTTTAGTTACTATAGAATAAAACCCTGAAATTAAATTTTATGCTTTTTCTTCTAGATCATTCCCCGGTATATTTGGTAGTCAAGCTGAACAGTCAACAACACTTATTCACCAAATATTTCTGAGTTGTTTGAATAATCCTGATGTGAAAGTAAGTGTTGATAAAGAATATTTATGTGTCTGAGTGTATTTTTCTTCTTATTTAGGTTCGTTATACAGCCGCGACAGCTTTAGCAGCTTTTCTCAAACACAATAACAAGATACTCGAATATTAACTGTCTATAGAGACTGTTTACCATGTTTAATATCGGTAAAGACAGATGTATATTTCTTTACTGTACTTTGTTCATTTTTGTATTATTATTTTAGACTGTTACTCATAGTTTACAAAATACAGATGAGGATACTGCCTTGAAAGCTTTAATCGATATAGCAGAAAACTCGCCCAAATTTTTAAGACCATCTATTAATGAAATATTTGAATTATGTCTTCAGGTATGCTCTATCTGAATACTGTTCTCTATCTGAACTATACTACACAGGAATTTCAGTATATCAGTATTCGAGGATCCCGCTGTTGTAGCACTCGAAAATTCAAAATATTGCAGACAGCAGCAACGGAATGTGTGTACCCGAAAGCACCAGAAGAGCACTTCACCTTGGTGAATTGAATGTTGTTTGGCTATGCACCCTGACCACATTTTCCCACGGGAAAATGTTTCACACCTCTTTAGATGTCTAGGTTTTTAGGTTTCTTTCATTTTCCAATGGGAAACTATTCCTAAAATTTTCACACGGGAAAATGTTTAACACTTCTGTAGGCGCCTAGGTTTTTAGGTTTCTTTCGTTTTCCCATGGGAAAACATTTCTAAAATCTTCCAACGGAAAAATGTTTCACACTTCTGTAGATGACTTGGTTTTAGGGGTTTTAGGTTTCTTTCGTTTTCCCATCCGAACATATTTCTAAAATTTTTACTCGGGAAATTGTTTCACACTTCTTTAGGTGTCGAGGTTTTTGGGTTTTAAGGTTACTTTCATTTTCCCATGGGAAAATATTTCTAAAATTTGCCAACGGAAAAATGTTTCACACTTCTTTAGCTGTCCAGGTGTCTAGGTTTTTAGGTTTCTTTCATTTTCGCATGGGAAAATATTTCTAAAATTTTCTCAGGGGAAAATGTTTCACACTTCTTTAGATGTCGAGGTTTTTAGGCTTTTATGTTTCTTTTGTGTTTGAGAATTGAAAGATCCCACTGTCGTAGTATGCGAGAATTGTAAGGTTTAGGTAGCCCTCGAAAAATTCAAAATATTGCAGATAGCAGCAACGAAATGTGTATACCCGAAAGCACGAGAAGAACGCTTCACCTTGGTGAATTGAATGTTTTTTGGCTATTCACTCTCACCACACCCGCCAGCTCAGATAACACTTTTCTTGTGAACCAGGATGTGATAGTCTAGCGGCCTGCAGGAAGAAGACGAAGATCTTGAGAGGTTAGACCAAAGGTAAAGGTAAAATGAATCACTTACTTTATATTGT